CATAGTAAGTGGGATATACATTTTTAACAAAAAAAAACTGCAATTCGTAATATTTAATTTTAAAAGTGCTATTGTATGGTGTAAAAGTCAACTATGCTATAATTGTCATAGTTGTTTTATTTGAAACTACAATTAAGTCAAAAAAGTATTAAGTTTTATGATACATTCTGTAAAAAAAACAAACAATATTGAATTATGATTTGGAAGCTAGCCAATCATGGTGGCATGCAATTCGTTTTTGGCAGTGCAACTGTGGAAGTAAACTTGGTACCCTCCTGACACTCACTCAAATAAAACCTAATGATGAAAGCAAGCCAACACTTTTGTTCAATCTTTCTTATTTTTCAATGGTGGGTTCTACCTCTTGTCTCCCAATTATCTCTTGTTTTCTTCTTTTTGGAACTTTCCAAAATCTCAACAAACTTAAGGACCAAAAAATGTAATTTCTTTTTACTTTTTATATATTAATTTTTGAATCATCGTACTGTATTTAGAAGAATTCCAAATGATAGATTTTTTTTCTTAGATAATTAAAAACAAAGCTCGAGCAATAAGCTAGAACATAAAATTATATAAAAAAACATACAAGCTTCTTAAAACTTGTCCTATGTTTTGCCAGAACTTTAAAGTATGAGAAATAAGTTCATAAAAAATTAGGTGTTGTTGAAACGAAAATGTTTGAAGTCAGCGGACCACCTCTGCAACATTCTATAGCAAAAGAAGGGGACCAAACGACTGCAACATGTAATAAAAAGTATGTGTTTAATTTTTTTCATTATATATTTTTATTTAAAAATATAAAATTATAATAAAGATAAGAGCCCTTTTTTTCTTGTTTGTCCTGGGCCTTTAAACATATTTTATTTTTCAGGACCGGCATGCAATAAGTTAAAGTAAGGTGTGAAAATGTTTGAAGTAGAGGGTCTAGTGTTGTGTCACGCAGCACACGCGCAACAACTTTTAAGTTAGAAGTCTTCTGAAAAACAAACAGTTGCGACGAGTCAAGTGTTGTGCGTGTGTCATGCGGCACAGCAATAAGTGGTCAGAAATTGTTTAAAAAAAAATAAAAAATAAAAACCAACCCTTTAGATTTGTTGTAACTTGATACAATTTTGGAGATCCCCTTTTCTAGAGAAGAACTTCAAGTATATACTAACATTCTTATGGTCGATTTTTGCTTTACACAAAACAAGACTATGTAAGACTAGATGTCAAGGGTCCTATAGTCGGTCCACAATACTATAAGCGGACAGAAAGGCTTTTGAGGTTCATTACGTGGTGGCGTAGGATTTAAAAGTGATACCGTGTAACAATGATTAAAAGTCGATACTTGAGTCATGAAACAAAACTTACAAAAAGTATGAATATGTTCTACTATGCTATATTATTAATAACAAAGCAAAATGGTAGATGTTACCTAAATAACTTTCAGATTTAGTTACAATCGTGATGTACAGTTATTAACAAGTTATTGTCATTTTAAATATGATACTCATTTGTGTATATGATTATTTTCATTCATATTTATATTCATATTCACAAAAATCAACCCAACTATAAATTAAAATAATAATTTCTCTCTATTCTACCTGCATAATCTAGTTAAACCCCATTTTCCACACCTATTAACCACCCAACCCAAACCAAACTTTTATAATACTTATAATTAAAAAATTTGGTTTTTCTAATATTTATCGTGAAAGCATATATAAAAAACATTAATTAAAGAATTAATATTTATCGTGAAAGCATATATAAAAAACATTAATTAAAGAATTAAATTAAAGAATTAAATGTAAGAAATCCTCCTATTATCATAATTAAATATGATAATCATTACTTATAATATTACCAATTATGCAAAATACATTAATTATAAAGAATATTATTTATGCTTAATACTTATTATATTTAATTATGGTAATATTTCTATAATTAATATTTCAATTCATGCTTCTTACTTGTGCATTTATAATACATATTAAAAGATCCCTTAATTTTTATTATATTATACAAACTATATATTACATGCTTTTTTCAATTTATAACACAATTTTTTTACTATTTTTAAGATTATATAGACAACATAAAAAAATTCTTAAAATATATCACTATTGATCTTTATCTGTAGACAAAATTATTTAACGTATTTTAGTTTACTTTGTTTATTCTTTTAATAAAAATAAATTAAAAGAAATTACAAAATAATGTTTATGGTGCAAAGATAGTTATAATAAATAAATAAAAGAAAAAAAAAAGTAAAAGAAAAAGGCCAACTAGATTTGAGGTTTGGTGGAGCAAACCTTCTGGGTTTTAAAGGAGTTTTCATTTTTCTTTAATTCAAAAATCAGTCTGTTATGGCTAATTAGATTATTCTTGTTCAAAACCAATTCAAGTGTCTATTAAAAAATTAACTTTTTTCTTTCACTTATACAACCCAGCATTAACCCATTAACAACCCAACCAATCCAACCCTTTTATGAAATAAATATAATTATAACTTTTTTATTATATATATATATATATATATATATATATATATATATATATATATATATATATATATATATATATAATTTTGATATATTTTATTGATTTTGTTTACAAACAATAAACTGTTATCTTATTGTTTATTATATCTAGTTAAAAAGCAAAATTGAAGAACCAATAGTATAATTCCATGTAGGTGCGACTATGACTTTATTTTGGTGGGTGTACCACGACACGTTGGACACCCACCAAGTTGGACCAAGTCCGTTGTTTATTTTCTTATATTCTTTTTTCTTTTAATTGTTTTTATCGACCGAACACAATTCTTTTTCTATTGCCAATGGCAATAGTCTTAACGTTTAGGTCGTGACTTTATTTGTTTGAACAGACAACGACAAAAACAGCATCTTACAATTGTTTACATATTTGCAGATTTAACAGTTAAGTCAATAACCGGTAAAAACAAAATACAATGTTTTTTTTTCAAAAAATATGATCAAAATTTAAGGGTTTGTAAATATATCTATTTTATAATTTTACTTTAATTTGATTAAATATTTACTATAATCTTAATGTATTAATGATGACTATGACAATTTCTTCTCTTCGAACGGAATCAAACGTTGTGTATTTGATTTCTAATGTTAAGTTACACAGATTAGGACTTAGGAGGGCAAATTGGGAATAATGAAACATATGTGAGTAGGAAGACTAGCCCTAATCACCATATGTTGAGAAGGTATCAACAACGATCTACCTAATGAATTTTTTTGACTGACCCGGTAGAAGGGAGGTCAATTCTTAGACCGGATGACGTATTGATTTTTGGATGGGTTTGAGGAAAACACACATTTGTGGATCTTACAGGAGTATCCCCTCTCGTGGGCTTAAGGGATGGGAATTTTACGGCGGGGCAAACTGTTTTAACAACTGTTACAAACAAAGTCACCAAACATGAGAAATCGTGTATGGAAAATCAACACGTATTCATATCATTTGTGTTTGATACGTTTGGTTTCCTCGCGTAGGATTCGGTGGAGCTTCTTAGCAGAGTACAACGGATTATGGATAACAATATTATATATCTTCTAGATCTATAGATATAGTCTTCAAAAGAATTAATTTTACCATACAAAAAGGCTTAACGGCACAGTTTGTTATCCGTTTGTCATTTCTCTCTTTGTACGATGATAAAAAATAAAATAAAAAAAAAAATCAATTTCAAAAAAAAAAAATCCTAAGGAGCTGGATGTCAAGGAGCTATGGAAAATGTGTGAATGGTTAGAAATTCAGGGCTTGCCATTGTGTACATGGACACTTGCTTCATTCAGAGGTTGCAGGGTTGTATGGTGTTGTTTTGTTTATGGGAAGTCATGGACGAAGAAAAGTTGTGGTAAGAGTGCGAGTTAAGTGCAACACTGCCACCTTCATTAATGACAAAGCCGATGGTATCAATTGCTAAATGGGTCTAATGATTGATTGCTACACCTAATCTAGAGATTAGTCTGCCATAAAGAACTCTTATTAGTGAATCTAATTAGAGATTACATTAATGAGTTTTGTAATACGGGCTCAACTACAAGGTTAAAAGGTGTGGTGATATTTTTGTCAATGGTAAAAAGATACCACATAGGTGCCATATAAGTCTTTACAATTTTTGTCACACTTTGTCTATTGATGGGGTGTGATGGTTTTCTTTACCAATGATATATATGATGGTATTTATGTTAAAAAAAAAAATTACACTAGGAAATAAGAAAAGGTTTACCACTGAAATTTGTCATGAGTGGTGGAAATTACCATTACTAATAAAGCTTTTATTATTAGTAAAAGCCTCCCATACGGTATAGCCTAAGGGTAGATGAGTGTTTTTACCATTGGTAAAAACCTCCCACGCCATATAGCCTAAAGGTAGAGGGAATCCATGCCTCCCAATCAACATGCCACATTACATTAGCACCACATCAACATTTTTGTTTCCTTTCACTTCCACCTACCCAAACAAACCATACACATTTTCAATACAACTTCTAATGCATATGGTGCAAGTGAAGAGAAGAGAGAAGAGTGGAAGTGGCGGGCTAAATAGGCAGTTGGACACCCAAAGCGAATAAGGTTTGGTTTATTCTGTTGATTAGTTTAATTTTTGGTTTAACCACTTATCTAAAACCTTATTCAATTTGGTTCTTTGTTTCAAAATTTGATATTCGGTTTACCGAATAAACCAAATAAGTATATGTATGCATTTTTAAAAAATTTAAATTTTAGTATTATTTCCATAATAATATCATAATCTGTTTCCATATTATACGATATCTATTTTTTCTTTTATTCCATAGTTTAGAATTAGCGTTTCGACTAACATGTAAAGGATAAAAAATAAAAAAAAACCTCAAAACTTTTTAAATTTTTCATTCTATAAATCATGTTCTACTTAAATGCGTAATGATATCGTTTGGGGGCTTTTAATATCATTCGCGTTTATTTTATATATAATCGTAAGATGGTGGACAGATAAAAGACAGGTGCAACCTGCAGACAAAAAATTGAATATCATACAAATGGATATTAAAAATTCCAATTGGTATAAATTATAATGCACATATAGACAATAACCATGTATAATTTGCTATTATATTAATTATTAATATATAACATTCATTGTTAGCTCTGAGTTCTTATATTTTAAAAACGTTAGACATAAACTTATAATTATTAGCAAACCGTTCTTAATTCTTATACCACAACTTACAATCATCAATTCGTGTAACTCCGTGAACCAAACATTTATTTCATGATTTATATGTATGGGTGGTCCTTAGTTACCACAGTTCGTCCACATGGCATCCATACGATGTTGATGTGGCATCTTGTCTAATAAAAAATGATATTTTTATAATTCATTATTATCATAAAATTATATTATCATTGATTTAATAGAAAAATCCCAAAGATGTGAAGTCGCTTGTAACATAGTTGTAAACTACTAGCGACTTGAGATGGATGTCGATGTGAGATGACAGCTACATCACATAGTAGTAGTTTGCACCATAAATTATTGATACGATTATTAACAAATATATATATTTTTTTTTATATTTGTCTTTCTATGCAATTGGAAAATGATATGAAACCATATGCGCATGAGTCTTCTTGCTATATGAAATATCATGGAATCATGAAATTCACACTTCTGCCAGATGCCTTGATAAAAATGATTAAAAAAGGAACACTTATAAAAAAAAATTAAAAATTAAAAAACAAAATCGGTTATTAAGGTGAAGCATACCATGTAAGGGTGCCTAAGTATATAGACACCATAGATGTTGGTTGTTGTATGGTGTTGAGAAAGTTGTAGCTGAACATGTGGAATATTTCTCCAACTCTCACCAAGAGCAGGTTTCAAAGTACCCCCTTCTCCACTAACCATATGATTTGTAACCTTTTTAAAAAAAAAAAAAAATTAATTAATTAATTAGGGACTTAATGGGAAAAGTCTCGTTGACTTTCTGTATAAAGTCAAAGATTAAGTTGCTGACTAAAACTGCGATGTTGTGTTGGTGTGATAAGTCTTTGAGAAGGTATCCAAGAGAAACCATTAATGCATGTCCTTGAGCGTTACTGCCTCCTAGAATTGGAGCAATGAGTGATGATATTGAATCAATGATTATCAGGTCTGTTGACTTTTTCTGCATTAGGATATACTTGTTTTTAAAACTTTTAATCATATAATAGAAATGAGAGTTTTTAATAAATGGTGAAGAAAATGATATGAAACCTGAGGTTGAGATTTTAAATTTAATTTTAGTTGATGAAGAAGGTCTAGCAGGGTATATATGTCGAAAACCGCATGGCATTCTATGTGTCTCATTGCTTCTTCAACACTTCCATTCACCTAAACATATATTTTTTGTAAATATATACAGCAAATTACATTTTTGGCACATGAATATACCAGATTTAGCAATTTTGGTCCCTATGTTGTCTTGATTAACAACCTAGATGTCAAAACTTTGAAAAAATGATCATTTTGCCCTTGGACAAAACCCGAAAAAAACATACACTACAGGGACCAAATTTGTATTTTTTTTCTTATATTTGAATTAAGGTTAATAACATTGCAAAAATGGTCGTTTTTGTAAAACATTAACAGGTAAATTAGAAACTAAGAGTTACAAATTTGGTATCAGTGGTTTACCTTTTTCTTGGGTTTGGTACAAGGGCAAAATGGTCATTTTTAAAAGTTGGACAGCTAGGCTGTTAAGTTAGACCACACAAGGACCAAATTTGCAAAAATCAGCTATACACAGGGACCAATAATGTAATTTACTCTATTATTCAAGTTATCTAGGATGCACCAAAAAGTCACAAGGTCAAACTACACAAAGTAAATACAATAACCAAACAAAAAGGACAAAAAATAAAAAAGAATAAAAAAATACAACAAAAATAAAAATTACCTTATTCTCCTCTGAACCGGATATATGGGTAACCATTTGTTTAATCCGTGTAGGAGAAAATGAGTTTCCCGAGTCAAAAAAGACGACATTACCCTTCTTCAAAGCCACATTTGAGGCAACTTGAAAGCAAACCTATACAATTGTCCGAAATCATAATAACAATTTATCAGTTTCATAATAAACAGAATGAAAAAATATATATATATATTAATATCTTTTTTGTAATGACATGGATTTAATTCTAACTTGTGTTTTTCCAGATGATGATGGGCCCACAAGCTCTGTTACATGTCCCTCACGCAATCCACCTTGGAGTAACACATCAAAGCTGGTTCATTTATATATACTTAATAACTTTTCTTGATGGCATTTCCGTAATTAAATAAAAAAAACAAAATTATTATTAAATATTAATATTAACATATATATACCTTTCAGATCCTGTTGATATATAATGTTTATTCTGTTCTCTATCTTCCAATAACATCAAACCATTCATCCATGGTTGATGGTAGGTTTCAGTAATCAAGACAAGTTGGTTGATACCCTGTTGAAATGTAACATTAGAGTTAGAGTTAATTGCAAGAAATAGCAATGTACTTTTGTTGATTTGTTTATATACATCTCTATAGCATTGTACTTTGAAAAATATATCCAATTATAGAAATGTAAGAATAAATATGGGGTTAATATGAAGAAAAAGCAATGTAGTTTCACTTTCATTGATTTGTTTGATGTTTATCATAGCATCTTGCTTTCATTTCTTATGATAAAAACATTTTACTTTGACAAATATACCACTAATACAAAGCAATTAGGCAGATTTTCCAAAATGCAAAAACTTATTAAGAAATATATGAAAGTATATTGCTATTTCTTGCATTTAAACCTTAGATATAGAAGAAAAACAAACTTTAGCTAAAAATTAACCTGTTTTAATCTATCTGAATTAGAGAGTTTGTCTGCAGAAGCCATCAACATGGACACATCATGAACTAAGAAATCTTCAACTGTGGAAATGAAAAACACTGAGTAGGTTCATCCCCCTGACAATTCTGATAATTTTGTACATGTATATCAGACAGGTAAGAGGAACCTTTCAGGAATGGGATATTGTTAATTTGTTATGTTATGGAAGGATGATGAAAAGAGTTGCAAAAGTAAATAAGAATGAACAAAATATGTATATCTTTAACCTAGAATCTCTATTTAATCCAATCAAGAATGATATATACTTTCTCCTAATTCCTATCCACAGAGTTTCCTAAGTATGGGAATACTAATGTAGCTATGGAAATATATATACTTCCCTACTCAATGATAAGTGATAAGTGATAACCCTAGGGTAAATCACTGCTTGGATCCAACAGACTTCAAAAATACTGAGGATAACAATGTCTTGAGTCTGATATAATGAGGTAACCATCAGAATTCAAAAGCTTTTGCATTTTATACCACCTTCAGTTTTGAAACCAACTTATCTAGGGTAGGAAATATGAACTCGAGTAGATTTCAAAGATCTAAAAGAAGATATTGCACAATAATCTTATTCTAAAATGAACCTACAGTAAGATGAGACCCATTTTTAAGGCCAATCGTCAAAAACTAAACTCACATAAACTCGTAAAAACCTCCAATTATCACAATCCTAAGCCTATTAGTTCATATTTTAACAGAAAAGTATGGGAGATTAAATCAGATCCCTAATTAGTTCATAAAAAACGAACCGATCTAACTTCCAACCAAAAAACTGCTTATATGAAGTGATCCAACCTACGGACACACACGTATAACAAGTAAAATGCAAGAGCCAGAGCCTGCAATTACGAGTTACTTCATCTAGGATCCACTCGATAAAACCCTACTAGTAATATCCACGGACAAACAGCAAAAAGAGCAGTTCATACGGAATCAAGAACATAATATCTGGATCGAGCGAAATAAAGAGAGGTTTATGAATTTAGGGCTAGAAAATGAACGCAAGCAGTAAATGACTGAAAGTGTTAATAATTTACCGGAAAAAATGCCTCGAGATGCACAGAATTGAAGAAAGTTGGCGTCGATTATGTGATAGTCCTCCTCCAGAGATTTCAATGCACCCATCTCTCCGTCGCCAACCAAGGCGTTTCGAACTAAGACCCCTACTGCTAAAATAAGTTCACCACTTCCATAACAAACTGTACAAATTACAAAATCTCAATTTAATTTTATTTATTTATTTATTTATATTTTTTGCCAAAGAGCGCGTGCGTTATTGGAAACTGTTCAGTTTTTTTTTTTTTTTTTTTTAATTTAAAGAAAACTGATTTAAGTTTTTCTTTTCAGTAGAAAATTTATAAAAACTGACTTGCTTTTTATTTATTTTCCGTTTAAAAAATTAGAAAATATGTTATTCATATGTATTTTGTATCAGATTTTTTTTCAATTTATTTATTTCAAATAATATAATATTTAATATATTTGAAATTAAAATAAAATAATTTTTTATGTTTTAATATATCGGGTAGGTAATGTAAGATATTTATGGAGGAAAAAAAAACATTATCTTAACTAGTCACATGATTTTCATTAAAATTATCTTAAATATATCATATGCTTTAACGATTGGAATTGGATATAAATCATGCAATTAAACATGGCTATGAAGATCAAGTACAAGAAATATTAGTAGAATATGAAATTAAACAACACTTCCATCCACTTTCGCCATGGAGACGATACCCCTAACTGTGCTTTTTTCCATGGATTAAAAAAATGAGAAAGCTTTTTGACATAGGCAATAGAGAAACGAAGCAAGAGAGAAAGACTAGAAAATGGTGCAAAAAAACATCCTAATATTATCAGAAAAAACCAAACCAATCCAATCCAAAACACCAAAACTATTCAAAGCAACAATATCCATAAACCATATTCCAAAAATTATTAAGTAGTAATAATGCTAACTATTATTCTACCAGAAGTAAAAAAAAAAAAAAAACACAAAACACCTAAATAGTAACACCCATAGCTTTCTCATTTCGATGGTGCAAAAAAGATTTCACTGTTCATCCTCTTGGAACGGAATGTCTTCTCCACGTCAGCACTCACATTAAACGAAGCCTGCAACACCTCAGGTGACAACGCCTTCCACGCCGATGTTCTTCCAGCCATATGAGTAAATATCGGACTGCAAATTTTACAATTAAAAAAAAAAATTAATACATTTTTCAACATATGTTGTGTCATGTGTCATGTATTATGATGGATTGAAAGTTGAAAGACGAAAACTTACTTGGGAGTAGAAATGATGGAGAACCATTCCAACCCTTCATTATCAGAAATCTTGGAAACGACAAAGAACCTAGGAACAATGAACAACATCCCAGCTTTCACAGTTGTTTCAAGAACACGTTTCCCATCAACACCAACGACTTGAGCACGACCACTACCCCTCACAATGTAAGTGACTTGAAGAGCAGAATCACACGAGAATCCAGGAGAACACATTGCATTCCCATCCAACCTCACAAGATCAGCTCCTAATCCAACTTCACCAACCAAAGGTAAGTTCTTTGTGTTCAAAACAACAACCCTACCACCACCCTTAATGTCGACATCCAATGGAGCTTCCAAACAGTTCAATGCCATTCCGGATCTGTGGTCTTTGTTTGGTTCCGGCATCCTGACTCCGGAATCGACTTTGATGATTCCGTTTCCGGTTTGGGAACCAACGAGGGATTTGGCTGTGGATTCGTCTACGTCCCATGCGCGACAGACGAATTCCATTGAGAAACCGGTGAAGATGCCGTTGGATCCGGTTAGGAAGAAGTCGGTGAAGGATCCGGGTTTGTGGGCGGTTTTGGTGTCGCCTAAGAAGAGGACTTGGAGCTCTGTGTCGTCTTTGTTAAACCACCATGTGATTACACCGAAAGGGAGGGCTATGGTGTCGCCTGTTTTGATTGCTAGGACTTTCTCTTCTTTCTCCGGGAGAACAATGCCAGCGACTCCATTGCCTTTCAAAAGGAAATTGATTAATTGAATGATTGTGAATCGAGAGCGGATAAACAAAACATGGAAGAAACAATTATACAGAATTCAACACTGAAACAAACAATCCAAAACCAGATGGAAAATTAATAAGAGTTGACTTTGATTACACTAAATAATAAGAAATTAGAAGTCAACAGAAAAGTAACTAATCGGGAATCGGAGATGCAGAGCAAGGTTGTGAGGGATATTTTAATAATTTTTCCAGATCTCTTTTGGATTTTCTTAATTTATAATCGAAATCGTGTTTGATCGGATCATATAACTATTGAAAAATAAGAATATGATAATATTGAAGATTAGGTAAGATCGAAACTATCAATTAGGTATGAAATAATCGTGAGTCTAGTGAATCAGCATAAAGACAAAAGAGAAATGTATCTTAAATAAACATGAATTCAGAAGTCGGAACGAAGAAATGATAGCATGCTATAGTGTGATAGTAACGAATCTTGAAAATGTGTATTGTATCGAGTGTGTAGTTGTGTGTCGGTGGTGAATTCAGATCGACGTGATATCGATCTAACAGTATTAGCAATCAAGTTACTGATCAAAATCACAAACTAAACAACTGCGATTAAAATACCTAATCATGATCGAACAACAACAATCAACCGTATCAATCATCGTCAAACAGAATTCGAAGGAATCAATAAAACAATTCAAATCATACAACTGAAATCGGTACCTTGAAGAACGTAAGCAACCTTAGCAGAATCGGAATAGCGAGGGAGAGCAAGACCGCCTTTCTCGAGAAGAAGTTTACCGGCACCGATGTTACCTTGGCGGAGCATAGGGAGTTCATTGGGGCACCATGCATGATACGATCCTCCGGCACCTCCGTATGACTTCTTAGGCATTTTCGGTGACAAATCGATATCCATTTTCCGATACAGCAACAAGGATCACGATTCGAACTTTGATTGATTATCGAAGAGAATTGGGATTATGAGATGAAAGGTTGGTGAAAGGAAGTGATCAGATGGTGCATTTATAGTGAAATGGGAGAGAGATTGTGTGTTTCTGTGTGTAACAACAAACTCGGATGAATAAACGGGGAATGTGGAAAATCGAGACTCAGTAAATAAAAATGATTTATTTTTAGAGTGTGTATATGGAGATAAAATCAATTCAAATTTTAATTAAAACTTTATATTCACTTATCCATATCCATATCCATATCAATAATTCAAATATTTTAAATTTTAAACTTTATCCATAATTGAATCCAAAAAGAAAAGTCATTCGTATAATTAATTTTTATTATTTTTAAATTGTAAAACTATAAAAAGTATATATTATATCATAACAAACAAAATATTCGTTTAATTATAAAAAGAAAATGTATAAAACATGTGATAATACTATAATAGTTTATTAAATTTATTAATAGATAACTTTAAAGAAAATAAAAAATATAAAGCGGCCAACACGCCATGTGTCAATGGATGGAAATGGAATCTACCTAAAATTGGACAACGGTCCATTTTCCTTCTGTAACTGATTTTATTTTGTGTTTTTGTATAATTGGCCATCATCAAGTAAATATATAACTGATAAATTATGCTAAATTTATTAATTACTTTTTAAATTTATGGAAAAAAAATTAAAGATTTTTCGAAATTGGTCATCAAGTTTGCATATAAACCAACAAAGTTGGCAAAATATCTTCGAAATCACCAAAGACAATAAAATTTGGTGATTTTTTAAGATTGATTGCCAATAGAACCAACGTATCAAATTGGTGAATCCCACATTTTAAAAGTATAAAAAACCATAAATTTCGTCCAACTTTATTTTATAAAATAAAAAGATGAAATCCAAAATTTTCTCAATTATCGTTCTTGTTTTAAAGATAATATTTTAAGCTATTTGGAATTTTGATTAATTTTATTTTAAAGTGTGTGCTTCTTTGTAGTTTTCCATTATCGTCATGGTTGATTTCTAACGAAGAGAAGATGATTTCACAAGTATCACATGCCAATTTCTCATCTTTTAGCTAAAAATTGACTAAAAAATAACATTTATAATGTGATATCTTTGAAAAATACTCATTGTCTCATGTATTTACGAGATTGATCATAGATAAAGTTTATACTAAGTTTATACTAAGTTTATTCTTTTCTAATTTTTTGTTGGTCTTATTTATCTATTTCTTATAGATAATGTCATTTAAATAAATATGGTTTAACATAAGCCAAATTTTTGAATCGTATTCATTTGAAACTCTCAAACTCTTCATTTTATCCTACTTAAATGATTAATTAATATTTTGCCTATATAAAAAAACTTAGCTTTTATTTTTTTCTTCTCTTTTTAGTTTGTTTATTTAGAAGTGCATGAAAATGAAGAAGTTGTAAATAGATTTGCTTTTTTTCTCTTTTTTTCTTTATATTTTCTTAAAATTCCATAAGAATTAAGAAGATTTAAATAGATTGTCTAGAAGTGCATGTGAATGAAGAAGTTGTAAATAGATTTGCTTTTTTCCCTTTTTTTCTTTATATTTTTTTAAAATTTCATAAGAAGTTTGTTGTGGACAGGATTTAATCCAAAAGTTTTTGGTAAGATGATGAAGAATTGTCTTAAGATTATACATTTAGAACCAAAAGAAAAGTGTTGTCAATTTTGTGGTATGTGTTGAAAATGTGTTTGTGTAAGAAATAAAAAGATAGAAATAACGAGAGTCTTTTAGGTAAATATTTGTATATTTAGAGCTAAAAAATGTTGTTAATTTTGATGTTTTTGAAGCGTATTTAAACAAGAGTTATGTGTTAGGACAAGATTTGTTGCGTCTAGGGCTTGTTCATTGGCCCAGTTTTGTTACCAGTTTGGGTTTGCCCAACCGTGTTTATTTTGTTTAGGGTTTTAGTATTTAAAGATTCATGCATGCACCGTTTGTATTTGATCGCTTTCATTTATTATTTTAAGTATTGTACTACAAAGCCTAGTACGCCTCTACAGTGGAAGTTCTTTGTCGAGCTCTGCTGAGATGTGGCTATTCTTGAATCATTAAGCTATATTTTGATTCTATCCTGTGTTCTCAATATTTATTTGTTTGTTTTAATGTTTAACCTGTTGAAGATCTAATCGATCTAAGAGTTCTCAACTCATAAATTGGTGTTAGAGCAGGAGACTATGTAATCCATACACATCTCTTCTATTAAAGAAGATTTTAGGGTTTTTCCGTTTTGATCGATATTGTTAGAGCCGTCATCAGCTATTGACGCAGTTCTTTAATAATTGATCTTATCCTAATGTTATTTACAAGTCTGATCATAAACAGGTTTTTGAACAAATATCATCATGTCCATGGATGACTCTCAGACAAACCCAATCAATATCTCAAATAGTATAGGATCGACGACAAGGATTCCTATATTATACACTCGAGACTATGAGGTTTGGACGCATCATTTTGAAGACTACGTGATTGGTTCAGAAGACAATGGATACTTGATCTGGGAGGCGATTATTGTATGTCCATTCGCTCACTCAAGTACTTCGAGAATTGTTAAAACCCAAAAAGGAGTATAATCAATTCGTCAATGATGTAAAAGATAGATGAGAACGAAAATTTTCAGTGCAACATCAAAGCCTTAAGGATGATAAGGATCGCCTTACAGTCGGATACGTTTCGATTGATAAGATCATGCACAACGGCGAAAGAAATATGGGACAGGCTGAAGCAACTGTATTCTACAGATGAAGATCTTGAGCATTCAATCCAAACTTCATTGCTCTCAGAAGTTGGTGACTTCAAGCACAATCCTAAAGAGATGCTTATTCAATCCTTCGATCGCTTTAATCATCTTCTTAGTAAAATGATAAAGCATGGGATTGAAAGGAAAGTCATTGAACATAAGTTCACATTCATGAATGGCCTTAGACCCGAATGGATGCCTGTAGTGTCTACTGTGAAGGCACACGAACAATTCAAGGCTTATTCTCTGGAAAAACTTGTGGGAATATTAAAGTCACATGAGAGTGCAGTGACTAAAGAAACGAATGTGGTTTCTGGGATGGGGTCCTTAGCTCTAATCTCCAAAGGAAAGAATGTTGCTGAAGAAGATGAATACTTAGATTTTTCTGAATATGACCTAACAAGTGAAGATTATGCTTTGATGGTTTCAAATCCCAAAAAGTTCATCAGAAGAAGGTTCCCGGCTAAAAAGAATCGAAACTGGCAGGGAAGCTACAGTGCAGAGAAAGTAAAGAGGAACCGAAGAGTGTCTCTCCGTCCGAAGAACCAAAGAAGGAAGCAAAATTTGGCGGTAACTCGGGTTTTAATTGTCACTACTGTGGAGGCAAAAATCACATTGCTAAAGATTATATGTTGAGAAAGACATCAAAAAATAATGACGACGAAGACGAGGAAGAAAACCTCATACGACGATTGGAGGAAATCAAGAAGAAGAAAGTTGGATCTAATAACACTATGAATGCTCTTATTGTGCAATGAAATAATGTTGATGATGGGTTCGGAGGTGTTGAAGTTTGGTCTACAGACTCTGAATATGAAGAAGTGAGGAAGCCCACTCACAGCAGGGCTTTGTTTATGAAAGAAGAGAATGTTGCAGGAAAGTGTCTAATGGTGACCTCTGAGATGTCACATATGAGAGGCTATACCACTGTTGGGGGACTAGACGAAGAGAAAGAGCGAGAAGACAGGTGTTTTGCAGCGAAACCTGTCAATGAACAGATCAACGAAAGCGATGAGTTGATCAAGAAGGTACAATCCATTCTTGTTTCTTTACATATCCCCATCACAAAACTATAAAAAAGAACTCGATGGATTAAAATCTAAATTTTCAAGTATAAGTAGTATTTTAACTCAAACTCGCGTCACAAACTCTAACCTAACTGATCAAATCAGCAGGATATCATCGAAGAGTGAGGAGAGGCGTATGTGGATTGAGCAAAAGGAGAAGGAGTTGATTAGGTCTAGGGATGAGACAATTTATTTACAAAGAGATAATTTAAAGCTTTTAAAATAACAGAATGTTTTTTGTTTAATTGATGAACGATTGTATTCCAACATTACTCAATTGCATATTGATTGTGATATGGGGAAGGAAATAAATTGTATGATTTTACCTTTCCTTGAGTTAACGGATGATGAAATCGATGCAGATACATATAACTGTGAAAACGTTGTTTCTTCTGATGATGTATCTCCCGCTTACAAAATTGTTCTTAACAAAATATAGTCCTTCATAAAGTCAAAAGACCATAAGGACATGATGAAAATTTTGTTTGATGAAAATGACAAACTGAAAATCAAAACCGAAACAGTATAGAAATTTGACTCTTTGAATACCATATTGAGTTCAGAAAAAATAATATTTATGTTGAAAACACTTATGAATTCAATGAGGATGATGATTTGAGTGAAATATATGTAGAAGATGAGGTGGACTGCTCCAAATTTGTCAAGAGCGAACCTGAAACCCACAAAAATAATATTTCAGAAAATTCTGTTGAGTTCGCTCGTTTATCCAAAAACAAGACTAAAGTCCTCAAGGAAAAGGTTGTTGTATAACAAAAGGTCCAAACAACTCCTAATAAAGTTTATACATTTAAGGGAGTCACTCAGCAACAGACAGCCAAACTGACAGTGTTAGTAGAAGATTACAATGTTGATGGTTGTGATGAGTTCTTCTGGTCAGCACCGATTGATAATGCCGATGAAATAGAAGGTCTATCTAACAAAACATCATGGAGGGTAAAAGGTAGGTATGTGGCAGAACCACTCAAGAAACCTACACGATTCGATGTGCCAAACACAAGTGGTACCAAAAATACTTTAGATAAACCGGTCAGGGCGTCGAGCGAAACCTCTTCACTAAAGAGCGAAACTCATGCTCCAAGATCGAAGCAAAAGGCCAAGATCCACAAAACTCCAAAACAGGTGTTAGAGAGAAAGCATCAACAAAATTTGAGATACAAGAAGAATCTCACTGAAAGAAAACAGTTTTGGCGGTCTTAAAACCCTAATTACATTCAATATGAAATGACTTTTATGTCAAAAGAAGAAGCAAAAGGAAACTCAGCTTCTCATGTTCAGCACAATGAAGACAACCAAAAGAAGAGTTTCGGTCCTCAAAA